TGAAGCTTTTTCTAACAACAGTGATGTTCCGCAGGTGTCCTCTCCGGCCACGACAATCGCGTCAGCTGTCTTGGTGTCACCCCGGATGGCATGGCTGTGGCGACAGGATCATGGGACAGTTTCCTCAAGATCTGGAACTGAACACTTGGAAGCTATTTATTGCAGCAAAGACATAACGTACCCCTCCCCCTCTCCCACCTCCTTCACCCCATCCAACCCTATAAATATACCTTAGATTGCCCCCCGAACCTGCTTGCCCCACAGGCTCCCCTCAGTGCTCCTGGTTCTTTTCCATCACTCATTAGGGATAGCTTGGTGACATGGGGCCCTAAAGAGGAATTGTGCCCACCAATTTAATGGCCTCCCAAATCAGTTACTTTGTTGCCACGCAAAAGGCGCAGGTCCGGGTGTTCCCGGGTTCCAGCCCCGGCCTCTCTCTATGAGCATACTGCAGCTTCCCTTATACATATACACTGGAGCCTGAGAGGGAGGTTGCATAGTATAGAGTCATGTGATTACTGACAACATCCCCTATTAAAGAAGGGAGATGCCTATAGATTAGGGCTAAATAGAATTATTAAAGATATGTATTTAGTGGCCAACTCCGGCCCCTCCGGCTGTTGTGGAACTACAAGTCCCATGAGGCATTGCAAGGCTCCGACAGCCACAGGCATAGTTGATACATGCCCCCCATTGTTCCTGCAAATGGGGCACAAAATATCCCCAGTCTGCTACAGTCCATGTTATTTCAGACGTTGCTTTCAGTCTTTTTACATTTGCAGCTTTAATTAAAATAATCCCGCCATGAGCGTCCTCGTTCACGTACTTCCTGTTACGGGGTGACAACTGCTCCTGCATTTTTACCCTGTCACATGCGCCCCTCTGGTGAAGACTACATGGCAAGTACGGTCAGGGCGGATTTACTCTCTCTGCTGCCCCAAGGCCAGGTTCTTCAATGCACCCCCCTACCCGCCAACCCCCCCACCCCATGGAGAACAGTAGACCTGCCGAGATCACTTGTACAAAACAAGCGGCAGCTTCCCCGCTGTACATTAGCTGTGCTTGCCTAAAGCAGGGCTAAATGTAGAAGACAACTACCCGCCCGAAAATGCATGTCAGGCATCGGGACATAGGAATTCCACACCCCTGCTGCCCCTCTACTCCCTGCAGCCCCAAGAGCAGGCCTTGGGAGAAATCCGGCCCTGGGTACGGTCTACCATTGTCACTGCGGGAAGCTGGTCCAGGGCAGGGACATCCAACTGACACTGGAGTGAGCGCATGTAGACAGGAAGTGGCTGAAAAAACCCTAAAACAGGATAAGAAAAAGGTTGAAAATGGTATCTTATGGCAATGTTATCACACACTCATCCAGTTAGGGTCCGGAGAGGCTCCTTGCAATGACCAGCTCAACGTTGAGGGGGTTGGGTCTTCTTTTCAAAAGGGGAGAGAGGAGACAGTCAGGAGAGCTATTCTAGCCGCCATCTTCAATGTATATTTATTGCCCCTCGAAGAAGCTACAGGTGCTTTTTGAAGTGCTCAGTTACACCCCCCTGTCCTTGTCTGCTCTCCTCCATAAGACCCTGAATATCACCAGTATCTAGGACCTCCCAAACCCCACCCCTAATGTAGACACCACATCCACAGCACCACACTATGCTTGCTGCAGATGCTCCACCCGTGTGTATATCTATTTTATTTATTATACTGAAGCTCCCACCTCCTCCCCTTTCTCTGTCACTTTTTCATATAAGTGTGTTTTATAGAAAGAGGAAAATAAAATCTATTTTAGGTCACAGCAGCTAAAGTGTATATTTGGCATCATTCAAAAGCAGGGGGAGGCGATTGGTGTTACCGGTGGAGATCACGCCACCAATGCAAAGAACCGGCTCTCGTGGTTCTCATTGACTCAGGTCATGGTGCAGGTAGTCACATTCAACCGGATGTGTTTTGTAATGGTGAAGATACAGGGACAGGCCGAGGGGTAGAAGTCAGAAGCATGGCTGTGCCATGGGATCGCCAGTTTCACTATTGTGGCGAACCTGTGCATGGAGGAAGTAGAAAGCAAGGCCCTGACCACCTTCAAGGGACTTACACCCAGTCATTGGTTCAGATATGTGGATGACACTTGGGTTAAGATTCACAAACAAGAGTTCCCAGCTTTCAGTGGCCATATCAACTCAGTGGATCATAACATCAAGTTTACGTGGGAAGATCTGCAACACAACAAACTGGCTTTCTTGGACTGTTCAGTAGAAGAGGGAAGGAGGCTGGAAATAGAGAACTACCGCAAACCAACCACATGGACCAGTACCTGCTATTTGACTCCTACTACCCTCTAGACCAGTGGTTCTCAACCTGTGTAACCTCAGGACCCACATTTGTCCTCGGTCATTAAGTCGTGACCCAAGTTGCACTACAATGAAATGCATGGCAGTGTGGGCTGCTGTGCTGGAGCTCCATCCATATGTGCATTGCTTGTACAGCCCCCATGCGCACACGTAAGGTTCTCAGGAGCCAGAATGTGATGTCACTCCAGTCCAGGCACCTTTACGGGACATGCAAGGGAGCTATAAGCAATGCACGTATGGATGGAGCTCCCTCACGGCCATACCCCCATCCCACCTCAAACCGACACTTGGCGCCAGGCTGCATATTTTGAATGGCTGCTCAGTGGAAGAATGGACAGCGCTGCGCTAGGGGAAGGCTGAGGAGCCTCTCACCTAGAAAAGTGGAAGGCATGTGGTGACCCACTGAACACGGGGTCACGACCCACCAGTTGAGAACCAAGGCTCTAGACCACAAAGTGAGACATCTATTTTCTGCCACATACAATGCTGTTTTAACACCTGGTTGTGACTAACAGATTGTGGATTGGAGCAACATTTACCATATGTATTCCCAGATAATTTTTGTACAAGTTTATTCTGAATTGAGGCAGCAGGTCAGATGACCAGTGAAACGTCTTCAAGAAAAATACAGCAAGTTTAGTGGCCTTGAATTATTTTACAGATGTAGGCAGAAGAGGCGGCCACCTTGGGTGCTTCAGCAGAAAGTGGTTCAGGGACAGGAACTACAACCTACACTGCTGAAGTAGTTCAGAGCTTAATGGGAGGACGATCACACTTTGCCCTTGGGTCCTAGAGGACCTTGTACTGTCAGTGAAGACATTTTTGCCACTAATCCAAAAAAAGTCAAATTAAACTTATTTTAAAATCAGCTAAATACATTCCAGGTGCATCAGTATGTCGTATAGTAGTCCATAAAGTTGAACTGAAAAGTAGACAAACATGTCCCCTGCCAGCAGGCTGCAGAGAAGACACCTGCTCTGTGCTGTGGAAGCAGTGTTCTCTCTACAGAGGTCCAACACATCTCCTGCCAAGTCAAAGCTAGAGCTCTCCAATCAGCAAAACGCATGCACTCTGCTGATTGCAGAGCTCCAGCTCCGATTCAGGAACCTCCATGCCAGGCCACTGCAGAGAGTCATAGGGAAGAGAGTGTAGGCCATTTCTAAAGAGGGACTGTCTATTGCTGGAACACACAACAGATGGCCTCTCCATAGGAATACATGGGATTTGTCTCCACGCATGTGCAGAAGCGAAGGACAAGCCGGAGAGTCTGCAGTACTGTCAGAATACAACAGCCCCGGGTGGCATGGATGTGGTGAAGGAGAGCCATTTCTTGGCTGTTCAGCCAAGAGGTTTTAGACCGCCTCCTATGATTGAAAAATTCAGAGTTAGGACTTACCGGTAACTCTATTTCCATTAGTCTTCCAGGACAGCATAAGGAGATTCCATCTCGTGATGCTGTCCTGGAAGACGTTATGGGAAATTTACTTTTTAAAATGGTCAGGTGAGGCCTGGACCACACTGGTGCAATTTCAGCAGCATTTGGCCGGGATGCAACAAGTGTGACCAGCTTTAGTCTTTGCATGCTCTCTGGGTCCCCAATGGGGAAAAAGTTCTCACTTCTTGTGCCAGAGACATAGGAGGAGATAAGGAAAGTTTCCACCTTTTGGAAAAGGCTTTCTATTCTGGTGACAACTGTCAGTAGTAGAATCTGTTCCCAGGTTCTGCTATCAGGACGAGAAGGAATCTCCAACCTGGCCACAAAAATCCAGGAACCGTTATTCTGTGCCCCCTTGCGGAGATCTTTATTTCCTGTGTTGGTGATAGTGTGTGAGACAGAAAGCTATACAAACCCCACAAAAGGCTTCAGCCTTCTCCCACACTACTAAGAAACATGTTTTTATGGTCATTGTGTATTTGTTAAACTGGTTTCCCTCTCAAGTGAATGTGAGACCAATTGGGGATTCATTCTACAGCGTTCACTAAAGGGTTAAATTGGGGGGAACTAGAAACAGGTTCCATTATACAGATATAAAATGGGTGATGTCATATTTTATATAGAAATTTGGGCTTTCAGGGGTCTGAATACAGTCTACACTTCTAGTCTGGGAGTGCAATGCTGCCATCTAGTGGTCATTTTGTTTTACTGCAGAAGCAAGATTTAGTTTGTTAAAAACATGTCTAAGCCTAAAGACCAAAACTGTCATATTGCAGCTCAGCATTCCTTAGATGTGGCGGTTGCATTCATTTATTTTTCAGCACACAGTGTATATAGTGCAGAGCGGTGTGCAGTCCAGCGTACATCAGTGTATATAGTGCAGAGCGGTGTGCAGTCCAGCGTACATCAGTGTAGAAAGTGGAATGCCAAATAGTGTACAGCACAGTGTACACTGAAGTCACACAACACTTGATACAGAATGGAGATTTGTGTTACTACAGATGCCAGTTCCCATCTGGTTTTCATGTCCTTACTGCACACTGTGAACCCCGTGTGTCATGTGCGAGTCGACCATGTGCGGTGCGTAGAAGACAATCCACAGAAACCAAAAACCATAAAGTTGTTGTTTATTCCACGTGCTAACCACACCGCCGAGACTTCTCCCGGGTTATGAGGAGGATCAGAGACGGGCTACAGACACAAGGAGGGTGACAGTACACTGCTTTGTTCTAAACCGTTTACAGGAGGGCGATGATTTGTGAGTGGGCGGGATTATTGTTTGGCGTTGATGATTTCGATGAACTCTGGTTTCAGGGAAGCTCCGCCCACTAGGAAACCATCGATGTCGTGTTGGGATGCCAGTTCCTTGCAGGTGCCTCCTGTGACGGAACCTACGGAGAAAAGACAGGAAGGTCAGGACAACCATGACATGGAATAAAACAGCAGATTCTAGACAAGTAAAAGCCTCAAGTGTGAAAGGTCACCATGGGATTCACCAACCACTGAAGAGTGTAGGTGAGGAAAGAGGGAGGTGGGGGGAGATCACTAGTCACCTAACCATTGAGCACTTCCATGGTAGGCTCTCATGAGTCTGCTCCCTCCCAGGTTACAAGTGGCCCGGATGTTCAACCACAATTTGACCCTCTGACCATAATGAACCAGGAAGCAAATGGTACAAGAGCCCGACTTCTATACTGTAGCTCAAGGGTGGGCAACCTCAGCAGCTGTAGAGCCACAAGTCCCATGAACAAGAAAGCCAACCACAGGCATGACTTACAGAACCATGATGAGATTTGTAGGTTTAGCACATCTGGAGTGCCAAGGTTACCCCCTGCTGTAGCTGTACAGGCACCTAGGATAGGGATAGGCAATGGGCTGCAAGTATTTCTAAAGAGTCTAGGCAACCTTGGCATTTCTAAAGAGTATAGGCAACCTTGGCATTCTAGCTGTGGTGACAGAGTCCCATAAGGCACTGCAAGACTAACAGCTAAAGAATGCCAAGATTGCCTACCTCTGAGCAGATGGAGGTCCCTACCTCGGAGCTCAATCGGCTCAACGTACCCAGAGGTTTGAAAGTTGGTACACATTTGATCCCGCAATCCACACTCACCTTCAGGCCAAGACAAAAAGGCAATACTGGGCTGCTCTGGTAAGGCTTGCTGCCCTTGGGTCCAGTTGGTAGGTCACGCTACAGACCTGGTCATACCCTGGCATTAGACTTACCTCCATAGATGATCCGAACGGATTGTGCCACTTGATCAGACACGTTGACTTTCAACCATTCTCGCAGCTTGGCGTGCACGTCCTGAGCCTGGAAGGAGAAAGATAAGTCAGAAGAGAAGACCCTAAATCATCATCTGAATGACGAGACTGTCAAACACTGTAGATGTACATACATTAGGTGCTAGGAATATATAGATCTCCCCCATCACAATGAACTCTAAAAACACCTTCCCGTAGCCCATCTTTGACATGGGAAATGGTGTCAAGTCACCTCCAGGAAATCACCTGCCCAGAGCATCAGAAATTTAACCATCCATCCTTCAGCCCTAATTGCCAACAACCTTCCAGCAAAAACCACCATCATTCTGTGAACAGGTCTGCACCCATGTGTGGTATACGACACTAGAAGGTGACCAATGCCCAGTCTGAACCCAACGTGGACAACCTTGGTACTCACCTGCTGGGGTGTTGCTGTCTTGCCTGTACCGATGGCCCAGACAGGTTCATATGCCAGGACAACCTTGCTCCAGTCCTTTACGTTATCTGTAATTCAAAATGTAGATTAGAAATACATCTAAAGCCAAAACTTTTAGGGTTTTCAATGAAGTGGTGAGAGATCTGCATTCCCATTTGAGAGATTCCCCCTTTCTATCTGTCCTGGTGATCACTGCTCAGTGCAATATGGAATAAAAATTGACAGGAAAATCCAGAAGGAGTTGTCACTAGAATAGGAACAGGGGGGGGTGAGTCTTCCAATGGGGATATGTGTTTGGGTGACCTTAGAGGATTTCTCCTTAGTTTCCCGTCTGACATGAAGTGCAACTGAAGCCAAAAACTTTTAGTTTAGGATAGGGTAGAAAAGGACGGCAGGTGCAATGCGCATGTTCCTGCAGACTATTCCTCCAGCCAAAGGTTGGTGCTGAAACCCAGAACAATTATGGGGCTAAAGAAAGCAATCAATGCACTACAAGGGTGGCGACGTCACCATGCGTGTTCCATTGAGGTCTACAAGACAATCTGCTGTGGTGGCAGACAAGACTTGTATTCCCGCTGCTCAGGTACAGCACAGCGATGTCTCTGCTACAATGTCATTGGTCAGTTTGCAGCGGCATTTGGCGCACAGAGCGGATTTATAACCATTGTGGCCATTGAGGAATATGTATAAAAGTTTGTGGCCCGAGTTCAGTTTTAAAGTGACGGTCCCTTGAAGATCTCATACCGGAACAGCGGCGGTGTGGAAATATTACAAGTTCACGGATTGAGAATGAAAGCTTGGAGAAACAGACCCACCTGCAATGTGCTTCGTCTGCCCAGACACAACCTTCTCTGTGATGCCCGCTTCCCGCTCGTCAAGCTTCTCCCCGATGCAAGCGATGACTCCCACACCCTCGCTCAGAGCATGTGCCACCTTCTGGCCAATCAGCTGTAGGGATTCAAAGAGAGCAAGTGTTTACAGCACCGCCAGTGAATGCTCAAAGCATGTGCATCAAAAGTGGACAGCCTCGTCTACAATATACAGCAACTGACCTATGGAAAGGCCGTCTAATGCTGGGACCAGCGATAGACGGCATTCCCAGAGGAATGGAGCCAGACTGAGGAATGCATGGGCTGCAAGTATTTCTAAAGAGTCTTCAGGCAGCCATTACCTTCTCATGTACCACTGGCCCCTCCCTTTTAGATTGTAAGCCCTCAGGGGCAGGGCCATCCTTACCATCTTGTCTTGAATTGTATTGTGATTGTAATGTCTTCCTTATATTGTAAAGTGCTGCGCAAACTATTGGCGCTATATAAATACTATGTAATAAATATATTTCTCTTTATTATACTCCTATTTCCTGCATTTCTTTCTTTACACAGAGAAATACAGAAAACTACAGTGATTTCATGGTTCCATACTACACTCAATGTTTCAGACCACTGCCTCTATGTCACTATGAAGTACAGGTCAGCGGGAGGAACCACAGAGCACCCGGGAACCAACAACACCTTGGAAGTGTCAGATTTTGATGATTGACTTCCTGTGCACCAAAATGAAATTTTAAGGTCATCAGCCTTCCTAGGTACTGTATCTTCAGTGAACTACAGAAAACATCCACGCTTTGCAATTGAGATTAGAAGAGTGGTGTTCTGTAGTCTTAACTTCATGTCCTAGGGCAACATTACTGCTCCTCCAGTACAGTGGTTGAGCGTTGTCACCCTAGGACAGGAAGTGTGTTACTGGCAGGATCGGCAGATGAAAAAAAGGAAAAGCCTGAAGACTACTAAAGCAGCCACCATATTTAAGGACTGGTAAGGTGCAATTTAGAAGCTTTTTGGGTTTTGATGCACCAACGCTGCTGCATTTGACCTGCGCATCCACGTATCAAACACCACAGGTAAGGAACACCATCTACAACAATGTAACATGTCAATGTGTGAATGCCTACACCCCTGGAGCATGAACAACCATAGTGTCCAGGGGAAAGCATCTGGTGCTCACCTCATCTGACTCCCCGAACACGTGTCTCCTCTCAGAATGTCCAAGGATCACCCAGGTAGCACCAACATCTTTGATCATAGCCGGGCTGCAGGGAAGAGGGACAGTTAGGTACACATCATAACCAGCCATACTCCATGCCAGCAGGACACTAATCACAGGCATTACCTGATCTCCCCGGTGAATGCGCCTTTTGCAACTTTATAGCAGTTCTGGGCGGCTACACCGAATTTGGCGTCCAACTTCTGGCGGGCAAAGTCCAGGTAGATGGTAGGAGCTCCACAGACCACCTCTGGAGGGGAAGACAAAGGACAAGGAGCTTCAGGAACAGAAAGTCATCCTGTCAAGTTAGCAAACAAAACACAAATGTTCTGAAGGACAGATTGTGGGCCAAAGAGAACCAGATTTATCCCGTTCCTCAGTGGAGGAAATGTACAGGATTTGGAGGTAATGCGCCACAAGGACAATTCTCAGATATAAGTAGAGGGGCTTCCATAAGACACCTTGGAGTAGATATAAACTCTTACTGGATGACGCACTAAAGCACAGTGCAACCTTGGTAATCCAGCTGCTGGGGAACTACAGGTCCTATGAGGCATAGCAAGACTGACAGCCCCAAGCATGACCCCCAGAGGAAGAGGCATGATGCGGTTTACATGCAGTTTCACCGCAGCTGGAGTGTTGAGGCTGCGTACACCTGGCATATGGTCACAAATTGCAGTTTCATGGTCATGGTTTTCACTTATTCCTTTTATTAAACCATCTCTGCGCTGCCAATTTCCTTCAGCTTCTGTCCGCTACTTCCTGTATACATGCTGCCCAAGACAATCTGCCCATTTAAAAAGACTGGATACCACATTTGAGATTATTAACAATAATGTTGGAGCTCAGTGGGTGGGTTTAGAGTGACTAAAAAGTGAACCTGTGCTTTGCCCATGTAGAGGAAAATGGGTTCACTTAAATGCTGGCCCGGCTTATAGTCCTTCCATCAGCAGCCACGTCCTCCTGCCACAAGAGGACTGTGCAAATTCATAATCTGAGCATGCACAGGGCTGAGGACTCCCGCCCCACCACCATATGACAGCACTGCTTCTACCCGAGCAGCCAATGGCCATGCACAGGTGCTGTCAATATGGTAGAAATGAGAAAGTCACATGCTTCCCTATACTGGAAGCACCGGGCATTTATTATCCATTCCCAGCAGAGGTGCATCCTTAGCCGGGAGGGCTGTGGGTGGTGGTGCATGCTATCCTTAGGGGTTTGGTGTTATGCCTCTGCATTACCTCCCCACCCATCTCTGGCCAGCGTCCTACCCAGCTCCAGGGCAGCGAGGTCACTGGCTGCCCGGAGCTTGGCAGAACGTCATCCAGAGCGTCCCAGGTTGCTAAGAGCTGGGCGGAGAAATGCGTTAGTGGCCCTTACACATTCTCCCCCCCCCGCCTCTTAATCCGGGATGCTCTGGCCGGAAAGGGGGCAGCAGGCTCATTGTAAACATTGTGCGGCCAAACGGCCATGCCACTCGGCCGGCTGACCCCCCCCACCCCCCACGTGACCCAAAGGGATGCCACCTTAGGCAATAGCCTCAAGCTGCATCCATATAGGGACGGCCCCGATTCCCAGAGTGAAGGAAGCAATGGAGTAGAGAAGAGACAGTAAGCATATACATTCGTAGGTCATAGAAATAGTTTCTGCAAACCACTCTCAATCTGGTTGTACAATCACTTTAAGTACCATTGGCTATGTATTCCCTTAGATGTAAACTGCATCAATAGTTCAGATAGGTCCTCTCATGACATAGGTAAACCTAAAAGGCGATTGTACAATCAGATGGCACCATGTACGGCCATCTTGCATAGACTAAACCTGGACTGGTGGCAATAGGCAATGTCTCTTTCGTCTGGTAACTAATCACTTCTGAAGACCCCCACTGATGGAGGGCTGCATTGCCAAACAGTGTTAACCTTTGGCTTTCCAGGTGGTGTGTTGCCAAGTACTCTGTACCCTGAACACTGTATTTACAGATGCCCTCCCTGTGACCCGCCATCAGCCGAGAAGGGCGCAGGGTAATACGAGGTGGTAGAATGTAGAATGGAGGCAACAGCTGCCAGCTGACCTATGTGGAGGCTTGTTAAATAGCATGACATTAGGACTGTAATGAATCCAGTGACTGGAGACAAGGAGCAGGCCGGGTGCCGGTGCTAACGTCCATGAAAAATTGCATTTTATTTCTCTAAAGGG